TTTCAGCAACTAAGTATCAGCAACATGAAATTGCTTGTCGGTGATATGAATTTTCACTGACAAGACCTATGTTACTAATACTTAAATAGTACAATTTTAGCAAAAAGTATTCTTTACTTTTAGTAACATGGTTCTTGTTTTTGAAAATCATTTTCAGCAACAAAAACCATGTTACTGAAATTTTTTAGCTACTGTTCATGACCGGATGCTACACTAATTCCATAAAAACTATTTTTACTTTTAGCAACATGGTTCTTATTGCTGAAAATGAATTTCAACAACAAGAACCATGTTGCTGAAATTTTTTGGCTACTGTTCATGATCGGATGTTGCACCAATTCCATAAATTAATTAGCAACATGGGAGCATGTCAGTGATATAAATTTTCACCAATAAGGTTCACGTTGTTGAAATTTTCTGGTTGCTATTCATGACCATGTGCTGCATCAATTCCATAAATTAATTAGCAACGTGGGAGCATGTTAGTGATATGGATTTTCACCAACAAGACCCACGTTGTTGATACTTAAATAGTGCACTTTCCCCCCCAAAAAGTATTCTTCACTTTCAGCAATATGGTTCTTGTCGCTGAAAGTGAATTTCAGCAATAAGAACCACTTGGCTAAAACCTTCTGGTGGACTAGGCCCCTATTTATTGACCGACAGTTGCACCCATTCCATAAATTAATTAGCAACGTGGGAGCATGTTAGTGATATGGATTTTCACCAACAAGACCCACGTTGCTGATACTTAAACAGTACACTTTCCCCTCCAAAAAGTATTCTTCACTTTCAGCAATATGGTTCTTGTTGCTGAAAGTGAATTTTAGCAATAAGAACCACTTGGCTGAAATTTTCTGGTGGACTAGGCCCCTGTTCATTGACCGGCAGTTGCACCCATTCCATGGGAGCTACCGGCATGAACTTTTAGATGTTCATAAAAACATCCTGCAAATAACACAAAACTTTTAGACTCATTGGATTCACTAGTAGCAAATTGCATTCAAATAATGAGAGCAAATGAATATTCCTTAAAATTTCAGGCCACTTTTCTTTATTTGGAAGTCCAATCTCTAAAATATTTTATAATTATATGTGAAGTATTTTTGTAAACCCAAAAGGATGTCCACATTATTTTTTTAGCTAAATTAGATATTTAAATTAGATGTGAATAATATAATTATGTTAAGTAATATGTTAAATGTTAAGTAATATTTAATAAAGTTAAAAATATCAACTAATAAATTAAATTTTAGAGATAAATAATATAATTATATTAATTAATGAGTCAAGTGTTTAATAAAATTTAATAGATTAAAGAAATTCAACTAATAGATTAAAATTTAGATATACAAATTAATTTTTTAAAAATTACAAATTAATTAAAATATAATAATTGTAATCATTCTGAACTGTCAGTGCATAATAGTAAGAGTTTTTGAGATTAATTGAACATCTTTTGAAAGTTGAGGGACTGAATTGCAAGAAGAAAGGTGGTTGTTTGGGACCTAAATGAATGAAGTTTAAGTTTTTGGATGTAAGTGATCATCTTATAAAATATAGAGGACCAGAAATTGCAATTTTACCATTGAAGAAATTGCAGAAATTGCAGAAATTGCAATTTTACCATTGAAGAAATTGCAGAAAGAGCCCAAAAACCCGACACGGGTGAAGTGTCGACACGTAATTTACAGTGTAATCCACAGTGTCGACACCATGCGTCCAACGCCCAAAAACCCCTACTCCAGGTAAGAGTCAAATCCATAAAAATAGAGTCAACTATTTGGTATTAAAGAGTCGAATATAAAATAATAAAGTTGATTCTCAAGCCTTCAAGAATCAACTATAAATGGTCAAAATTCGACTTCCAAATTTCAAAGAGTTGTGAGTATCTTGCTGCAGGTCAGAGTCAATTTTATAAATAGAGAGTCGACTTTATAAATAGAGAGTCGACTCTTATGACTAAAAAATCGACTCTTTGTAGAGAAGAGTCGATTCTTATTTAAAAAAGTCTACAATTCACCAAAATTGCAATAGCAGTATGTGAAACATCTATGTAACCTCATATATATGTCCACATATTTTTTTAAATTAAATAGAGTTTAAAATTATCTAAATATGTTAAATAAAATTTACCATGTGTTAAATAAAATTTAAT